TCTGAGACAATGGAGCCTTCTCAGTTAAAAAACGACCACTACCAAATACGTGCCATGTCTCCTCCCCTACCCCGTATATTGGATGGACTACATAGTTCTGAAGAAGACTGATCTTATCATCTGGTGTATGATCTGGCGTGATGATTCCTTTTTTCTCAATCTTGAAGAAGCAGAAGTTCGATTTTTATCAATGGACATTTCCTCTAGGCAGGAAGCTTGTTCTAAAGTTTAAATGGCACCAATGAATTTTTCTGCATGTCATGTGCCTTTTGATTAAATGTGTCCTAATTCATAATCCCAAAATATACTAGGATCAAGAGCAAACAGGGAAGTGTCCATTTAGACACAAGGTCAAATCAGGGATTAAGAAATACTCTCTTAACTTTCCCATAGGGTTTGATGGGATCTAATAATATATACCCTTTTTGTGCGAGGGTTCCTTTGAACACATTGCTAGAAATGTATTGCATTGAGAATTTCTCAGTATTAATGCTAACTGGGGAACTTGCAAGTTATCAGTGTGGGACCCACAGCCATTCCCTGCTTCAGATAAAGACGGTCGTTTTGCTTGTGGCTACAGCTTCTATTTTGCAGAATAAATTGCTCTTTGCAATTGGGCTCAATCTTCTTACAGCGTTGCTCAAAAAGAGCCAGTGATTACTGTTAAGCCATGATTGCTATTAAGCCAGTCTGACTCTCCTGATCCAGCACGGTTCCTTGTCCAACCCGGGTCCTTTCTAAGTGCCTGCTGACTGGATGGGACTTGAAAAACACTGAGACCTCCAGGTACGACAGGAAGCTGTCCCAAGAGGCAGCTATGCATCTAAGAAACAGAGCTGCAATTTTTCCACATCCTTCATTGCCAGGTTCCCAGCATATAATTAGAGTGTTGGAAACCACATTAAGCTGATGTTTGGTGTTGGTTTTGTCTGTCCTGTCTTTGTTTTAGGCAAATCGGGTCTGTGATAGAGACCTGACTGATAGAGACCTTTCAGATGTTTTGTCCCTTAGGGGAATCTGGCTCCTTGGGGACCTTTGATGAATTGCTTTGCCTAACAAGGCAGGCTGTGTGTTACTTTGTATCACGCCAGGCTTCATTTAGTTGGTTGGATCACTGAAGCAGAGAGGGGTGCCCTTCAGCCACCAGGATTCCTAAGAAGCCAGGAAATTAGAGCTGCTGAGCAGAAGCCTGCGGTTGGCACAGAGAGCGTGGATGGTAATCATTCCTGCCGAGCCCGGGCTGTTTACTCTGCCACCACAAGGCTGGTGGACACTGGGTGTGGTGGGCGTGCTTGCCTAAGTACCTGTTTGTAGAACACTGAGACACCAGGGCAGAGCTAAAACAGCAGTAATCTGAAACCAGTCGTGTTGGTTTTCCTTCTCTGGCCCCGGCAGCAGCTAAAATCTGCATTCCAGATGAAACCTGCTGGGATGTGGAAGAAAGCTCTTTAAAAAAAAAAAAAAAGCTTCAAGGGCAGTAAATTAACTGCTGTTGAGAGTTCTCGGCATTTTGAGATGATCTGTTTCTTTCTTTGCTTTTATTTCTTTGCTTTGGGCTTTGTAAGTGGCTCTTGATCTGTGTGCGCTGCTAGTTTTTTTGGCCAGGATGCCACAGGCTTCTGACCATAATTTAGAGGGCAAAAGAGGGCCTGTCAGAAGTATTTCAGTCATTTTCTGCTGATTCACTTTTGAATTTCTTGGGCTGCTCTGGGGGGTGGTTCAGGACTGTCAGGATCAGCTTGCCTGCTCAGCGCTTCCAGGAGCCTCCTTGCTCACCAATGAGGAAGTTGAAAGCAACCAGGAGAAGGGCAGGCACTGGGGCGGAGCTCGTGGTGAAGTCCTGGCTGGGATGACGGGGAAGGCTGACTTTCCCTATGACAAAAAGCCTTTTGTCCACGGAAATAAATACGGAAGTCCCAGAGGAGCAGCCTCCCCAGTCCGTGTGTAGTAAGGTGCGCAGCTTCGGCTGCTTCTGGGCATAAAGCTCCACGGACTTTTTACGGTTGCCCTGGACACACTATCATCGCACAAACCGGAAGGAGGGCACAGTGAGTGACCCGAAAGAGACCAAGTGCGCTCGTTCTTCGGCTGCGGAGTCTGCCTGCCCGGTCCTGTTGCTTTGCCTCCTGTAAGTTAGGAGCTGATGGAGTGGATAAGCTGAGAGAGCAGGGGAAGGTAACAAGTCAGAACTTCCACCGAGGGCATTGCTGAGACATGGAGGACGTTGGTAACTCTAGGAATGGCAGTGATGTCTCAGAACCAGAAAAACCCGAAGCTGGACTTGAAATGGCTCAGTCGATCCTGAGCAGGTTCTCTATGAAAAGCCTGTTTGGGTTTACAAGTAAATTGGAATCTGTGAAGCCTGAAGAGGAAGATGCAGTGCTGAAAGCATGCCACAGTTTAGTCGTGGATCCTGTACCTCAGCCTGATGGTCCCAGCAATGGCTCAGATCAGCAGGAGGCAGCAGCCCAGGTGCCACCTGACCTCGGAAATAGTGGGAAGACTGCAAGCCTGCAGATGGAGATGGAGTCAGAGGGAAATCAGAGAACAGCAGAGGCGGGGGTTTCTCTCCCTGCTCAAGAACTTCTTCCACTCGCTGCCTTGAGTGCAAGCAGAGATGATGTCATTTTGGTTCGTGGGACCCTTGTGAACACCACCAGTGATTCTGACTCTGATGATGGTGGCCAGGAGTCAGAAGGGGGAAGCAACACCAATGGCCCAAAGTCCCCCAGTGTTGTTTTATCTGAGCCATCTCAGGAGCCCAAAGAAAAGCCAGGAGATTGTAGGGAAAAGATTACCACTGGGGAAAAGGATGATGCAGAGCCCTGTGCAGAAAATCCTCAAAGGACTCCAACTGAGATAAGTAGCAAACAGGAGTCTGGCGATGGTGGCCTTCAGACAGAGCACAGCCCCGGCCAAGGGCAAGCTGGAGAAGAAGCTTCCCAAGTCCCACCTGCGATAATAGACCAGAACTTGAGTGTTGGTGTCACCGAGAACACCTCTTCTAAAAAAGAAGTCCCTGGAGAGAAGTCATTCCAGCTTCCAGCTTTTTTTAGTGGGCTTCGTGTGCTGAAGAAGGCAGCTACAGCCGAGGGAGGGGAGACCATCACTGAAATTAAACCAAAGGATGGGGACCTGGCTTTGCTCAAATTGACCCAGCCTGTTCAGAAGTCCTTAGCGCAGGCAGGGCCTCGGACAGTGAAGGCTGGGCAGAAAACAACTGATCCGAAGGCCCCTCCCAGTCTCTTGGAGCAGCTCTCGCAGCTGCTCAACATTGACATGCCCAAAGCCGAACTGAAGGCTGGAGACCCTGAGCAGCCAGGAGAAGAGATGGGCTGCAGTGCTGCCCAGGAGAGCCAGAGCGGCCCCAGAGAAGCCCAAACCCAGAGTGGAGAGGTCAAACCGAAGCCACCAGAGACTGCCCTGGAGGCATTTAAAGCCTTATTTATTCGTCCTCCCAAGAAGGGGACCACAGCTGACACCTCTGAGCTGGAAGCTCTCAAGCGCAAAATGAGGCATGAGAAGGAGTCGCTAAGAGCTGTGTTTGAGCGGTCTAAGTCAAGGCCAGCGGATGGCCCCTCTGATTCCAAAAGCGTATGTAGAATTGGGTTCTGTTTTGGCATAAAATGTGATGCTGCTGTATTTCTTTTCAGGTTTCCTGTCAAAATGAATCCCAGTCACCTATTGTTAGTGACTTTCTTCCAGGCGAAAGATGATTATAATCAAATTGTCTTTGTAAGGAGTATGGGGTTAAACAAAAGTGTTTTCTTTCTTCCTTACATTTTTATGGACTGTTCTAAGAGGGATGTATGTGCAGGTAGGAAAGGGAAACTGTTACTCTGAGTTTAAAAATTAAGAGTAAATATTCTTATAAAAACTAAGCAGCATGAGGAAGCGATGCACTATGGAAATATAGCCCAGATTTCCTCACCACTTAATTATACCTCTGTGAAAACTATACATTTTTTCCTTTGAAAGTCTGCCATTTGGCAAAATACGTGTTTGTGATGTGATTAAAATCTTCCATGTCAGTTACAAGGCATCCTGATTAAGCACTGGATTTAGAATGAGACCTGGGTTTTAATTCTAACTCTGCCATTTACTGGCTGGGTGCCTTTGGTCATCTCTGAGCCTCAATTTCCTCTAGCAAAATGAAGAAAATAACCCTTATCTTACATGGTTGCTGTGAAGATTAAATAAAGTTAGTGCATGGTAACCATCTAATTAATGAAAGCTGTTACCATTATTAAAAGAAAATTAATTCAGTTAATTTATAAAGACTAGCAAGCACCTGTTCAGTAGATCTTAAGGGTTCATAAGAACAATGAATAGAATTTCTTACTATGTTTCAATTCAGCATACAATTATCATTCCCTCTTATATAGTTGATCAGTTAAAATGTTAAACATGTAAAAGTCTTTGGAAAAATTCTTAGGTTGTAGCTTAATACATATAGCATTCTCCTAGTTGTAAAAAATCAACTCCTATAAAAATAGCTTGAATGTGAATGTCATCTCATTTTTTTTATAGGAAAGAAAAAAATTGAAATTAGCAATGCGGAGTGCTCGGAGAAGTGTATCTTGGCCTACAGCTAACGCTCATAGAAAATGCAAAATTAGTCTTTATGTTATAAATAACTCTGGAGTTGTTTGGGATACATTTGCAAATATTCCTAGAAATGTACCTGGTTGTAGTACATTTGTGTCTGTATCTTCAGCTCAAAGTTTATTTATGATTTTAAAAAAATAGTTATAAAAATCAACAATTAAGGGTTGTGCAACACTTGGCCTTGAGTTTTTTCATTTTCACCCTCATTTATCACTTTACATTTCTGGAAAAGGATCATACTGTGGTGATATGTTTCAGTTACAGTAGATGAGAGCAATGTGCAACTGGCCGTTAAAATTAATTTTAGAGTTAGTTAGCATGTTTATTTTCAGGGATTAATTGGCTCTGGCCACATTTCATTTAACTTTTTTCTTTGCCCACTTTTTCAACAGCCTGACCACAGCCCCACTGAGCAGGACGATAGGACTCCTGGCAGACTCCAGGCTGTCTGGCCACCCCCAAAGACAAAAGACACAGAAGAAAAAGTAGGATTGAAGTACACTGAAGCAGGTAATGTGAAAAGAAGCCAGGTACCCAGGAATGAATCTCTTGCTGCAATGGCTTTTAGTTGTAGTTCAGTAGTCTCTCAGAGTTTGAGTTTTTGTTTCATTATAAAATGTAATGCTGAAGGCTTTTCTTTTTGGTTGTGCTGTTAAAGTGAACCCTTGCACATTTATCATTAACGAATATCTTGGAGAGGAAAGGTGAATGCAAGGGAATGAATGAAGTGGGGGCATGTGTGTAAAGTAGGAGACCCTTTGGGCAACTAATGGAGAAGATAGATTACTGATTCCTCAGGAAGCAGGTGGTTGGCCCTCATGTAATGCTGTGTGAGCTGGCAGGTTGCTGGAAGAGGCAGAGTATGATTCTCCAGAGCTGTAATCTGATTTGCTGTGTGTAAGTAATGCTTTTGAGCTACAGGAACCTTGTGCAGAACGAATGTACAGATACCATATCAGTTACTCCTTTACTTTTGTTAGACAAAGCTTTTTTTAATGCATGGCCAACTCAAAAGCAATCTAACTCTCTGGAAACCTTCCCAGGAGCTCTGCTTGAAAATATTTAAATGGAATGGGAATCTAGATATTTTTACTCTTTAAGTGAAAGCTTCACATGAAATTAAAAAGAAAAAAAAATGAAGGAGAGGATGATATATCTTAATGTATATGTGTGTCTGCATGTGTCTCTGAAAACTTTGTCTTCTTCCTAATATTTGAAGATTATCTGATCTATACGGGCTTGTATTTTGCTTGTTGTCTTAGGTATGTATGTATATTAAGATCAGTCTATCTGATTATAGAAAAATACTTCTTTCAGTTCCTATTCGTTGATTGGCATAAGTGGATCAAAATTTAGGTTGTTTAGTAATATGAGTTTTCTGCAGTATCATGAAATGACTTCAGTGATTGAGAACATAGATAAATCTCATTGGCGAATGAATCTCAAATCCTGCAACCTGATCGCTTTTAGCCTCCGTGTACACAATTGCCAACTTTTGAGTACCCCAAGACAACTATTTCATAGCATTTTTTCCTGCAGTGGTTGACTTATAGAATGAAAACTATCATAGCCTTAGTGGAAATATATATAGCTATTTCAGTCTTCTTGCCTACGTTTGATTTTCTAGAATTGGAATGCTTATGATTGCAATATTGAACCACCTACCAAGTTATCTTTCTCATGATTGGGCACAGTTTAGACAAATAAAAGTACTGAAGTTCACTTCAATGAGAACCCAGAATCCTATAAGTTCTTATTCCTAGTTTATATTGGTAACCTTAGTCTTGTCCCTGTCAGTGCATTGTGACCATCTTCCTTGTCGCAATGAGTATTTGCTGAGTAGGGAAGGAAATAAATATCTTAAATTGTTTTCGATCCACTTCAAGTAATATTTTGGGATGTTCATACCTCTACAGAGATTCTTTAGTTTTTGCTTCTGTTCTCTTCCATTTCCAGAAGCTCAGAGGAACACTGTAACTTATATTGTCAGTAGCTTTCCCAGTCTTTTTTTTTGGTCAAGAAATGTGTCCTCAGAGCTGTCTAAGGTCTTGGATGAGATGGGGGAAAAGGGAGAAGAAGGGGAGAATAAAGAGAGTGCTGTGGGGTGGGTTGTGATGGCATAATGACAATGAGAGAGAGAGAGGGTGGGCTGGTTGTTGTATGGGGAAGGCATATCATCCCCAGCCAGTTCCCATGGGTGGCAGGACTGTGGCTGACTTACTTTGTTCCCAGGTCTAGTGCTCAGCTTCTTGAGAGCCTTCTAGGTGCTCCTTACTCTGCTGATATACTTTCGAGGGTATCAAGAATAAGACACTCCATGCCTGCAAAAGACTTATTTTTTACCCCATTACTCAATACCAGCATATGGTTTCCTTGTCATTTATTGCTCATTTTGAGGACCTTAACATTTTCCTTGTGATTTTCTTAAACTGTTGTTGAAAAAACTGGAGTCTTATAAGCATTTGGTTTATAATTTAACACATTTTGTGGTATTTCCATTGGTTTCCTTGCTTTTCGGGAAACATACAAAACTTGCCACTGTGAATGGAGTGCAGAGAGAAATTAGATCCAAGATATTTCAAGGTGTTTGAAGTCTCATGCTTTTACATCTTCAGTGCTCTTTATTCTTCCCAGGGTGTATTATTCAGTAAATTAGTGAAATGGGAGGTCAAGACTCGAGCATGCATATTTCAAGTGTGCTGTTGGAATTCAGTGCTGTCGACTTCTGAACCCAGTCCTTGGCAGAGCTGGGAAAGAGATGGTGTTGTTCACCATGAGTCCCACGGTGTTCTTGTGCTGCCCTCGGCCACTTTGGACTTGACACTGCTTGGATTTCCCTCTATTCAGAGTTTATCATTTGATGATCTTTTTCTGAGGGCTTAACAGATCACCTAATACTGTAAACTGACTTTGTTCAAGAATAAAAAGAGCTGATATAAGAGAACCTGTCTATTTAAGCTATGGGTTCTGGAGTCCTCTCAGCCATATGAGGGTAGCTGACTACTGTTGCTGGTACTCACTGCCACGGATGCTCTCTCCTGCCACTTCCAAAGCCATCAGCATCATCTATAGCGGCTGACACTGCAGCTGCTTCCCTTAGCAGCTAAAGCCTTTGGCTCCCACTAGAGCCTCTGATGCTAGTCTGATGACACTGTGGCCACCATCAAGGGCACTTCCACTGCCAGTCTATGAGCCTCAGAACCTTGGTGATGTGCCAGATGAGAGAAGCACCAGCACCCATCAGAGCTCTCCCTCGAGAGACTGCCACAGATGCTGGAGAGTTGACCTCTACCACTCAGGGAGGGGCCCCAGTGTTAACCAGGCCCAAGAGGGAGTCGCTTTCTCCCGTCTCTTGTGCTCTGCTTTCTTACATTATTATCAATGCAATTCTGCGTTAAGTTTGGGATGCCTCAGCCATTTTGACTGAAAAGAGCATTTTTTCCCATTTTCCTTTTTTTTTTTTTTTTGAGGAAGATCAGCCCTGAGCTAACATCTGCCAATCTTCCTCTTTTTTCTGAGGAAGACTGGCCCTGGGCTAACATCCGTGCCCATCTTCCTCTGCTTTATATGGGACCCCGCCACAGCATGGCTTGCCAAGCGGTGCATCGGTGCGCCCGGGATCCAAACCAGCGAACCCCAGGCTGCCGCAGCAGAGCGCGCGCACTTAACCGCTTGCGCCACTGGGCGGCCCCTTTTCCTTAGAATTGGGCTGAGGATAATCTGAGTGGCCCCATGTTCTTCTCAGAACTGTCTTTCCTCCTCTGAGTACAGGAGCTTGCTATTGAAATAAGCTTGTGGGCTGATCTTGCTTTTTCAGGAGAACTCGTTTAGTGGGCCCCTCACATCTTTAAATGGTTAATCAACTCATGGTGAGTCTGTGCCACTTTCCTGTGCTGCAGACAGTAGAGAAACATCTGGATGCAGTAAATTTGACAAGCTTGTGAAGCTCGGAGTTAAGTAAAACCCAGTCACAACAAAGTTAAAAGATGTTCTGTGATCCAATACAAGGGAACCTAGGAGAAAAATGTCTACCTTTAAATTTGTCTCCTGAGAAATAGAAAACCAGTGTTCTATTCCTCTTCAAATACAGTCCTGTACGTGGTGAGGTTATGTAAGGGTTAGTAACTTACCCAAAGTCTTAAAACAACAACAACAAAACTGAAAAGCATAAGGATGTTCTAGTATCATAGAATCATTGAATCATAGAGTTAACATAGGGTTAAAATTTATCTCAAACTTCAAGGAAATTTATCTCAACCACATCAGGTCACTTTTTCTTTTGTGAAGTATAAATTCACTTAGCCTTATTTTTCTTTTTGGATAATTGCATATATTACTATATTAGCCAGGATCCTGTTGGGAATCAAGTGACACACAAGCTGGGTGATTTGACTGAGAGTTAATTAGAGACTATTTACAAAGGTGTGGGCAGGGTTTAGGAAAAGCGATAAGAGGTGGAGCAGTGCTCTGGGGCTAGTAATAGAAGTTTCTCCAGCCCTAGACCTGAAGGGGCAAGTTCTCCAGAACTTCAGAGGGGGGCTGAGGGATGTGGAGAGAGCTGCCCACCAGGAGCGGTGGCCTTCAGTGGAGGGATACAGTGACCTGACAGGGAGGGAGCTGGGGCAGTAAGTACCCTGATGTTCTTCCCCTGCTCTCTGTTCTCCCACCATCGCTTCCACTGGCCAAACCCAAAGAGAAGTCAGAGGACTGGGAGCCACTTTATGCCCTCCCTTTAGGCTGTGTGTTCTACTCCAGTCAGTTCATAGAGAACATAATGACTGTCATTCAGAGCTTTGCTCTGTGGATACCTCCGTCTCCTTAATGTAGAGGCTTTGTTTGCTGATCTCGGAAAATCTTCCATAAGTTCTAAGTTTCCCTATATATTACAAAATACAAAAGGGAAATATCTAGAAACATCACAAAGCAAAAGAAACTTTCTATAATTCTGTTTCATAGAGAAACCATTGCCAACAATTTGAATTATCATAGGCCTATGTGATTTTAATACCTAAAGTTTTTTGATCACACTGTGTAGACTGCTTTTCTCAATTGAAAAGTTAACTGTATCTTTAAATGTTTACATTTTTAACAATGATTATATTAATAGAAATTTAGTAGTTATATGTAATATAATAATGGAAATAACAATGCTGTAAGTATTTTTGTTCATAATTGTTTTTATCTTTAATTGTATTAAATTCCTTGTGGTGGAATTGCTAGGTACATGGGTATATGCCTTTGAAGGTTTTTGATGCATATTAATAAATTGCGATATTTTTTTCTTACTGAATATCTTTAGATAAAATGAATACTTTTAAAAAACTGAATATTCTCTTTTTATAATTTGCTTTTTTACTTATTGTGTTTTCTGGTGATAGCAGTTTTAAATATTTATGTAATCAAAATCTATCCTCATTTTATTGTCTAATTTGTCTGTTGGCTTTGGTAGAGCTCTCCTAGTCAAAGATCATCTATATTTTCAAATTTCTTAAATGATTTCTTTCTACCTC